AAAAGTTAGTTTATGAGGCCTTCCAACAGTTGGTAGACAGTGCGCATCTTAAAAAAATATCATTAAATATAATATAAATTTTTAAAATAATTGTCTTATCTAGAAATATGTATTTAAAGAAAGACAAAAAGCTTTATTAACTAAATCATACAAAAAAGAAAAAGAAATACTTTTTTTAAATAATTAATTTAAACATAATAATTGAATAGAAAAAAGAATACTTTTTGTTTGGAATTGGAAACAAATTTAAAATTTGAAATTAAATATGAAATATCTTAACATTCAATTCGAGGAGAATTCGATTTTAATTTTATTTATTTTAATACAAACGGTAGTGTTCCCATCATGTCTTCTCTACGAGGTTAGAGAAATCATATATTTTGAGGGGAAAATTCATCATCATGATCTTTTCAATAAAATTATCTGAGTGGGGAGAATCAGCGTGGAAAGTCCATCAGATGATTGGAAAGTCAAAGAGAAATAGTCGATCAACCTCTTCAACCACAAACAGTGAAAGCTTGAGCGAGCAGTGCAACCGGGCTATAAATGCTCGGAAACTGCTGTTGTTGGCATCTTGACAATGAGTGGATTTCCGTTTTCATACGATACTATCGACTGATTAAGATGCTACCCATGTAAGCGACGTTCATTTTTAGCAAGACCTAACTTCGCCTACCGGACAAATCGTGGCATAGGGCCACCTCTTGTTGGAAAAACCTATAGATTTTACTTCTTGAAGATGGAAAAATCAATTTTAATAATGTCAATTAAAATTAGGGCGGTCATAAGACAAAGCTTTTATATACTTGCTTGGGTTCATCGTAAATTGTTTGTCATCCCACGTATCCTTATTCCAATAGCATAACCTCCGCATCGCATCGCTTAGTAGATACGAAGCTCGATTATCAATCCCCAGCATACCCAGATTCAACCTCCTTTGCGATAAATCCTACTTCAGTTGCGATTGCAAGGCCAATTTGTAGTGAATATGGGATGGAATTAAGTCCACAAATTCAGCACAATTTTTAGTTTTGTTTAGAAGTAAAAACCACAAACTAAGCCCATAAACTCAGTAAAACATTTTTATTTGTTTACCACGGAGCTAAATGCTAACACTACTTACTTATCTTCTGCAACATAGCCAAGTAGTTAAGAAGCACGACTGTCAATTCGGCTTGCTTGGGCTCAATTCTCAGTTTATGCTTTAATTATGATTGGTCAACGGTCGTAGCTCTGGTGAAGGCATAACTCATACCAC